CACAAACGCCTAGGACTCCACAAACACTGCAAGAGTCATGGGAGAAAAGGAATGAGTGTTGACAGATCCCCAGAGCTATACCCGGAAGCAGCTACTTAGAGAGGAGACAGGGATGGTAAAGGCAGTTACAGTCATCTAGGAGACAGAGGACAGCAGCTGCGGAGGGATGCAGCTCAGTAAGGGCTTTGCCTTTTTGTTTTGTTTGAGTCAAGTTCGACTGTGTAGCCAGGCTGACTTTGTGATCCTCCTGTCTCAGCCTCCGGATTGCTAGCGTTGTCTAGGCTCAGCTCTAAGACCAACCACAGAAGCATCCTCAACTAGAAAAGAATTTAGAGAGAGCAGCAGGGAGAGATGGAGAGATGACTCAGCGGCAAAATAAAGGTGACTGCTACCAACCCTGACGGACAGGTTACTTCCCAGGACCCACGTGGTAGGAGGATAGAAGCAACACCCCCAGTTGTCCTTTGATTTCCTGGAGTACCACACACACACACACACACACACACACACACACACACACACACACGGCTGAAGATACACTCACCCTCTATAGACACGATGGTGGGAAGGCAGTGCAGGGCTGAGGCTCTGCAATGCTGCAGCTGCTTCTGAACCTACAGTGGGTCCTAAGGTCTTCAGTGGCTGCAGAACTGCTCCTTCTGGCAAGTTGGCACCTCCAGATTCTATCCATTTTTCTTACACAAACGCATACTACTTGCTTTAATGTAAGTCAGTCTTCTCTCTCTCTCTCTCTCTCTCTCTCTCTCTCTCTCTCTCTCTCTCTCTCTCTCTGTGTGTGTACTCAGGGGACAACGACAGGTGCTGGTCCTTGAATTCCACCTGGTTTGAGCCAGGGTCTGTTGTTTTTCTGTTGCATAGAGCAAGCTTCCAGGTCTCGGGAGCCCCGGATTACGGATGCTCATTCCACAACTCCACACTCCCAGCTTTTATGTGGGTTACAAGGATTTGAACTCAGGTCAAGGCAATGTGGCAAGTGCGTTAGCACAGAGCCCTTCTTCCTAGCCTCATTTTTCCTTTCTTTCTTTTTGAAAAGTGACTGCCAGTTACCACATTCTAGCAAAGCAACAACAATGTTTATGATGCTCGAGACTGTTAGTAGGTACTATGTCAGCCTCATTTTCGAGACTGCTAGACACTAAGGGGAGGGAAGGGACTTGCCCAAGCACTGGAAGTGACAGAGACAGGCACACACCAGTACCCTTCTCTGAAACTTTCTGACTCAGTGGAAGCAAGTGTGGGTGTCCTTCACAGCGCACAGCATAAAGAAGGTCTAGCGACGCGGTGGCAAAGAGCACCGGCGTAGCCAGGAACCCTGGCAGGCACCCGTCTAGGGTGGGCACTTAAGCTAATGACTACTTTTACCACGAGGTTGTCTGTGGGGGTAGACAAGAGTAACCTGAGCAGCAGGGGACTAGGGGACCCAGCAGTGGGCTGCTGTGAAATTGAGAAAAGCACAGTTGCCTCACTGCAGAAAAAAACACACGGCTCTGACAGGCAGCTCTAGTCCCAAACCAAACCACAAAACAGTTAAAGGAATTTTAATATGCAACTTTTAATTTTAAGCTAGCATATTTTCTTTTCAATGAATCAAAAGTGTTTGTGTTTTAAAAATACGTATATATATATATACATACATAAGTGCTCGGCAAAAGTATGAATCATGTTACTCGTGGGTTCAAAAAGTCTGAATATCACTGAGCTAATTTAGCCTCCTCGTGTTATTTATTTGGACAGGGTTCTATATATTATGTAGCACAGGCTAACCTTGAACTCAGTACATAGTTAAGGATGGCCTTTAAGTTCTGATTTTCCTGCCTCCAGCCCTGAAGTGCTGGAATGAAATCAGGTTTATCCGGAAAACGGAACCTAGAGATCTGTCTATTCTAGCCAAGCACTCTAGTGAGTTACATACCCCCAGCCCTAAACAATACCCCTTCATTTTAGACGGTGCGATGACAGAAGTTGAACAACTTGTCCAACTCAAGTTAATGACAAAGCTGAGCAGAGCATTCGAGTCTAAGGGTTTTCAATAATCTCCTCACTAAACCAGACTCTCAAAATGCAAATCCCTCTGGGAGAGGGGCAGGGACTATAATCCACACCAGGGTAAGTAACACTAGAGTAGAGTTATCTTTTAAGCCCGCTGCCTGGAGCCAATTTGGTAAAGAAAATGGTAGTATGTGGGGGGAGGGGAGCATGGAGCTAAAACAAAATCAGTTTGAACCCCCCCCAGCACTTCCCCCTCCCCCACCATGCTGTGGGGTATGACAGAGGACAGAACTTGATGCACAGAATGAAGAGACTACTATCATCTGATTGGCTCCATACAAGGAGGCTGCTTCCGTGTCTGGGAAGGTAGCTGAAGGCCATGCTGCCCTTTGCTCATGTAGCTTCAACCAATTTTATTACATGAGATGTTCCGAATGTCAGAAGCCCTTTCTCTCACCCAAACACACTGGCTGTTCAGACTCGTTGTATAACTACACTCCAGTGTAATATAAGGCTCATGTCAAGTTCGTGGCGCTCGGCCTGTCTATAGGAAGCAAGTGCTGGGCAGCAGCGGTGAGTAGGTCCTAGGAGATACGGTCCCAAAGTGAATGTCTAAGTCAGAATTCAGGCCGGAGTGCTGGACCAAGTTCATTCCATCAGACCCCCATCACAGACGCACATGAGAGCTCTGGGCTCCTAAGAGGGAAAAGGGGTGCTGTGCAGTTGATGTAAACACCTCCCAGCTCTGCAGTGTGGCGAGTCAGCACTGAGTCAGGGGCCTTTCCCATACTCTAAGTAGGAAGAAGGGTGGCTATCTGTAGAAGTCCCAAGTAAGTCACCTTGAGAGGCTGTCCCTAGTCAAGGGAGGGGACGGATGTTGGGAACTTCACAGTCCACTTTCCTGGTAGTAAACTTCACCAAGAAAGAAAATTGAGAATACAACACAGGTGTTTTTATCACAAAAGGACCCAGATATCCCTGTAATTCTTTTATTGATCAAGTTCAAAACATAACGGGTACATTTTTTTCCTGGTGATACAGGTCTGTTAAAGTAACAAGAGCAATCTGTGGAGACGAGGACTCAAAGACTAGTGTCCCAAATCAAACCCCTCAGTGTTCATACACACAAATTGTTTGCAACTCACGTGGCATAAAGACAAGCCACTTAGCTGCAGTTCAGTGGTCTGGTAGTAAACTTATACCCAGGGGGAGGAGCCCAGGAATCTGCATTTCACTGGCTTCCTGGTGATCTGGTAATATAGGTCATGTTTGTGCCGAACTACACAAACCTCCGTTTTCTCCTGTTCACATAGATAGCCTCAGAGGTTGACTTTGAGCCCTAGGTGATCCATCCTCACAGCAGGGAGCTTGTCTCTTCTGCTTTGCCCATCCCTAAGGAACTGCAGGCAGGGTTAGGTGCCAAGTTCTAGGCAGTATTATCAGCACACTACACCCCAACACTAAGGACCTGCCTATTCTGCCCAGAAGTTTTGTTCTTTCTGTAGAAAAGACTAATAAAAATAGGAAATGCATTATACCTAAGACCCCAAATAACCACTAGCTAAGAACGGCTCCTGCTTGTTTTCTCATTACCCCCAAAGTGTGCCCTGACATCTAAGAGGCCAGCTTCATCTAGCCCTTAAACGATGTATGTTTATTTATATGCAAAACCAAGGTAAGGCTTCCCCTTAAAATGCCTACTCACCCACCCTGCCTGCGTCTGTCCCACCTAAAGCTAACAGGAAGTCATGCTTTGTTTCAGTGTCCAACAAACCCCAAGCCACCCTCTTGCTAATAAGATGGCATAACTCCAAGGCTGGAGAAGAAAAAGCCCTTCCCTATGGTGCTTTACATACAACTAGTAATGGTGCTTCAACGCAGTACAGAAGCTGAATACAACCAACGAGTTAGAATCTGGGTTCTGCACTGTCCGTGACCTGGAGCTCTGCCTCAACTTCCTTACATTTACTATAGGAATAACGACAGTACCTAACATCTTGCCCTTGTGAGGATAAATTAACAGATGTGTGTAATCCACTTAGCAACATGCCAGACACAGTAAGAGGCTATGTAAGCATCCGCTATTATGGTTGGAGTTGTTAGTTATTTTAAAGCTCCAGGACGCCATCAGTTACCCCTCGCCACTCGCCAGCATCAGAGACTATATGAAAAAGCAGCACTGTCTCCGTCCTACAGGATATATGTGCAAAGCTTTGGAGGTAAACTGAGGTAACCTGTCCCAGACCACAGGTTAGTACCCAACCTCCGTGTAAGTGGTGAATTCGAAGCCAGGTCTGTGTGGTTTTAGAAGCCAGCCTCACCGTGGCTTCAGATTCAAAACAAGCAGCAGCGGCTGCCAGTCACAAGGCTCAACTGATCACCACCACATCAAGGTCTCACTCAGTTCTCTGCCCCTGAATCCCTGCTTGGCTTGCATAAATTGGAGCAAATACCGGGCCACTTGAACCCAATTAGGCAGTAAGTCAGCCTGGGGAAAAAAAAAAAGCATGAAATGCATTCCAGAGGTCAAAGTAGACGCTGGCTCGGATGGCAGCCTATGCCGGACATTTCCATGGAAGTTAGTCTCTGCATGCAGACACCAGCCTACAGTCAGGGAGGTGCCTACCACACGCTTGAGTCCCATATCCGGACCAACATTGGGAACAAATTGCCTGAGTCTTAAGTCAACACAAAAAGACAGTTTACTTTTTTTTTTTTTAAAGGAAAGTCATATTTCTCTTTCGGTTTAGGGTAATGGCTACTATGTAGTTAGCTGCCTTCCCCGCCAAAACAAAAAGGCTGGTGGGAGAGGGCCAAGAATAAATAGCGAGTGCTCCCCCAGCCTGCAGGGTGCTGCGACACCCACCTGAAACTCGACCAACCTTTCTAGAGCCCAGCCCCGGAGGGCGTTTCCCCAGCGCATCCCGACAACTAGTTCCTCCCGGGTAGGAGGCCGACGCCCTCAACTTCGGTTATGGACACCAGACTGACGAGCCAGAGCCCCTCCCGCCCTCCAGTTTCACCCTCACCCCCCAATCACCACCCTATCATTTCCGCCGAAGGCTCAAACACCAGGGCGACCGCTCCGTCTTCAAGGCCACCTTTCACTACGTGCAGCTCGCGATCGCAGCGGGAGCCACGGATGAAAACCGAGCTGGGGGGTGGGAGGGGAGGCAGGGAGTCGAGGCGGGAGGGCGGGGGCGCTAGCTAAGGAGACCGTCACCTTCTCAGGGCTGCGATAGCTTTGGGATCTTCAGATCCCGGGCGTGGGGTCGGAGCTCCCATAAGACCGAATGCAAAAGTAGGGTGGGGGTGTCCCTGGGGCTAGCTCCCCCAGAAGCCACCTCGCTGGAGGGCAGCCGTCGGGACGATGGCGCAAGCCTCTCACCACCCTCCCCCCCCCAGCGACAACAGCCACGGTGACAAAATGGCAGCTCGGCGCCCGACAGGCGAGCCACCGGCACAGCGCCGGGGACCGCTGCCCCTGCACCCCGAGAATGGCAGGCACCCTGGGGCTGGGTCCCCAGTCGGCATAGCAGTGCAAACGGCGAGGACAGACAGAGGCCCGCAGGTCCGAGAGGGTCGAAGGCCCCCGGTCTGCCGCGCCTTCTCCAGACCGGATCCCCAGGCCCGCGCCGACGGGCTTCTGCTGCGCCTGTGCGCGCCCGGGTCCCCTCCAGTGGGCACCAGAGTCCCCGCCGAGCCGGGTCCGCGGCCTCCGTGGGGGAGGGGCGGGCCGCCGGCGCCCCGGGAAACATGGCTGCTCGTCCTAGTTCGGCGGCGTCGCGGCCACCAGTCCCCGAGATGCGACTTGGGAGAGAGAGAGGTTGCAGAAGGTGGGTGCGTAGGGTGGGGGGACTCTGGGGAGGGAGGCTCCCAAGAACGATCTGTTTTCCAAAAACGTTTATTTGAAAAAGCAAAAAACCAGAAAAACAACAACAAAAAAGCCAGTTCCTCCTCCCCCACCCCTTTTGTCCCTCTTTCGAGAGCTTTCTGCCCTCCCCTCCCCCATGCGCAGCAAGTGCCCCCTCCCCCGCCACCCGCGCGCCCCACCCCGCTAGGAGCCCCGGGGCCGGCGAGTGGGCCGCGGACTCGCGACGAGGGGGCGAAGCGTGAGAAATCGCGCCCAGCCCAGAGCGCCCGCCCCTCCCCCAGCGCACACACTCGGGAAGTTTAAAGAGCCGGTTCGACCCGCTTTCTGTTTCACTCCAGGTTGGCTAGTACTGTGGACTGCTCGGTCCGGCCCAGCGCTTATGCGCACCTACTCGCCGCGACCCCGAAGCCCCCCAACTATGTACAGGGGTCTTCCGGAAAGTACGCGGGAAGCCCGCGTCCGGCCCCCAGCACCACACCCAGCCCCCTCCACTCTCGGTATCGGGCACCGGGACTGGGTCAGGACGCCACCGGCCAAGCCCGGCAGCCCCGCGGCGGCAAGTCCTGCTGCTAGCGGCGCCCCCCTCCTCCCCGCCCTGCGCGCCATAAGGCTGTAGCACGTCTCCAGTGCACAGCTGCGTGAGGATGGGCGGACGGCAGAAAAGAGCTTGTTTTCAAAAGTCTTACTCAGGTTTAGAGGGAGGAACTAGGAGAAAAGAGGAAGCGAGGCCTGCCTTTGTCAGGATTCGAGGGGCCAAGTGGATGGGGGACGACAGGTCAGTGCTACGTGCTGCGCGAGCCCCCAACTCGCCCGACTCCCCAGACGCCCAGGCTGAACCTGGGATCTTCCCGCCCGTGAGCTCCTTCTCCCCACGACCGGGCCTTGAGGGGAAGCCGGCCAGGATTTCCACCCCAGACCCTAGGGTCTCTCGGATGGGCCAACTCGCAGACAACACGAGTGTGTGAAAGCGAGAGGAAGACAAAAATAAACAGTAGCGTTCGAGTCACCCACCCACCCTCACTTCCCCTAGCAGTGGGCTCGCGCCCAGCCTGCTTGTTCCCACCGGTGTAAGTTTCCTCCTGCCATACTCCCGCCGCTGCCCAATCCATAACGGCGACGGCCAGACGAACTGCCCATCCCAGAGCTGCGTGCCAGCCGTGCCTGCAAGAATGTAGACCCGACCGGTCCCCACAGCAGCACCAGCTCTGGGCACCTCGGGTCCTGATAAAGTTTCCCGTGCTCATTTATTAGCCAGGCGCCGAATGGCTGCCATGGAGCCCACCTCGGGAGAAGCAGGGACCCGGAGGTGGGGTAGCTAGTGCCGATGGGGCATCAGGGTGCCAAGGTTGGCATCTGGGGAGAGAACCGGAGGGTCGGGGGCTCACCGGGACGCAGACTACGGGCAACTTACACTAGTGATCGCTCGTGGTTGGGGAGGCGTGAGGATTATCTGAGCATTTGCACACTCCACAATCCCTCCCTCTCTTTCTAAGGTACCCCCCTCCCATCTTCCGCGAGGAAGAAGGGAGAAAAGACAGCATCTGGCCCAAAGGTGGGGTGGAAAGAGTGAGAGAGAAAGGAGAAGGAAGGCAGGCAGAGAAAGGGAGGGAGGGAGAGAAAGGGCGCGTTCACGAACACGACAAAGTTACAAATATGGCTCCCCACCTCTCGCCTCATCCCCGCAGAGAAACGAAGACGCGCTTTAAACTCGAGCCATCTCCCAACTCCGCAGCAGCCGGGTCCCCACGCGCTCTCCCCGGGGGCCTCGGGCCACATTGATCAGAAACTAAACCGGACTCGCGAATCCCAAAACTTATTGTGTGCGAGAGAACAAGCGAGCGAAAGAGAGACGGCAAAGGGAGGGGGCAGGCGCGGGAGGGGGCGGAAAGGGGGGTACGTTTCTAAAATATAACACCCCCTTTTTGTTGTTTAATCCAGGAGGCAGCCCATCTTCTCCTCCCCTCGATCATCTTTTCCATCCAGACGCGAGTCGTGGGAGCTGAGAGCTCGGACGAGGGTGAGATCGCCGCGTTCCCTCCGACCCGAACGCGTGCGCCCCGCCGGCCCCCCGTTGGGTGCACACTCGCACGCACACCCTCGAACCCATACCCGCACACGCGGGAGCACACGCACAGGTAGTCAGTCACACACCAAGGGCAGCGGCGGCGGTGGCCGGAACATGCTCCGATAGCATTGCAATCCCCCCCCCATCCAACCTTGCAATTCATTTGCAGTTCGACCCCAAACCCTACACCTCCCCGGAGCACCCCTCCATAAAAAAGTGCCTTCCCCCCAAACACACACGCACACATAACACAAAGTAGGAGAATGGACCGACAGAGATATTTTTGGCAAATGCTCACATCAGAGGGCGTCCTGTTCCGCAGCTCTAAATGAATCCGTTTGTCCATATCCATCTCTCGCGCTCTCTGTCTCTCTCTGCAGAGGATCCTGCGCCAGCGGAATTCAATCAATAAACCCCGAACCCACGGCCGCGCGTTTTAGGACTTTGAAGGCTCAACCAGCTCCGCTCGGTGCTCGAGCCCCCAGCACCCGCGGCGCACACTAACCTGATCGCCGTGGAGGCGGGACCTGCAGCTCCGGCGTGGAGCGGCGGTAGCACGAGCCAATCGAGTGGCGAGGCTTCGGATACTAGCCAATGGTGGTGGTGGCGGCGGGGGGCAGGGTCCAATGGGCGGCCTGCGCAGCGGGCCAGGGAGGCTCAGCCATTTGGCTGTGGTGCCGGAGACGGACCCCTTTAGATACCCGGGCGGCCGAGCAGGAGCGCGGCTGCAGCTTGGTGGCTGCGCGCGAGGGGCGGGAGGGAAGGCTGGGCAGGTGCGTGGACCTGAAGGTTCGTGGCCGGGGGCGGGGCCGCAGGTGCGTGGACGCGGGAGAGGCGGGGTCCTCGCGGGGACATCCTCTGGGTACTTGGCGGGCGGACGAGGCCTGGGGCGCTCGGGCGCAGGGCAGGCCCAGAGAGGGCGCGCATTCTGAGGGTGCACGAAGGACAGATCACACCCCGGGCTGCCCACTCGGCGCATCCCTTCGGACTGGGTCTACTCCCATTCCCGCAATTAAATAAGCTAATCTAAGCGCATGATGTTCCCATCTACCGAGGAGCGAGGGCGGGATCTCGACCCAGAGACTTGGCATTCTGATGTCCTGCCAGGACAGCCTTAACAGAAGCGATTCCCCGAGAGCCACTGGAGATCTTGTGTAGGGCAATTAATGAATGAGAAGGCCGCGGGTGCAGAACTGTATAGAATATTTTAAAAATGCGAAAGGAAGGTGCTAGTAATTGCCGATTCTCAGAGCTGAGCATAATTTACGGGGGACTTTATAGGTTTTGTTGAGACAGAGTGTTGCTCATTTCAATCTAATTGTCCACTAAAGTCGTTTGGTTAGATCTGAGTTGCCAAGGAGTCGCTAACTGGAGCACTTATCCAGGTCTTTCGGTTGCTTTGGGTTTTGTTTTTGTTTGACCACGTTGCGTTTTAAAGAGACCTTAAAAGCCCTGATTCTCACTGGGTTACCGCTTCTTATGGGCAACCCTGGGACCTCATGCACTGCGTGGGTATCTGTGGCTGTGAACATATGATGGGGATGACTGTCAACAGGGACCCATGTTTAACTTCATCCCCACAACTGTATCGCAGTGTCCGTTTCCCTTCGTCTACACTCTTCCGCAAACAGCCCAAGGTAGTTTTGTATTTTTGGATACATTAGAACTGAGCATTTTGTTCAGTAAGTTCTTTTAGATCAAATAATGAATTTGAAAGCCGATAAATGTTTATTTTGAATAACTGGAAGTACAATTAAAAACCTGTCATCTGGGTGAATATGGCATGATTTCTTTAAGTTGTTCATTTAACATTTCTTATCCTTAGATTCGGTTAATTTTTACGAGGCTGTGTAACTGAAATTTTTCAGTTGTCATCGGTTCCTTTTTAAAACACAGGGGACTTCAGATTACCTCTTTGCCATTGAGTCAGTTGGTATTTCTGGATATGATAGTTAATGTTTCTAAAGTGATAGCTTTTCATCACAAATATATTAAGAGGTTGTGGTGGGCAGAATCTGTACAGCCAGGAGTCTTGAAGTTCCTGTTCTTTGGGGTAGTAAATGCTCATTTGCTACATAAACACTGAACCGTAGTTGAGGTCTCTGCTAACAGCGGTGTTGTGGGAGAGTCCTTTCCGCAGGACTAACTCCTTCAAAAGTGCCCCCATTCTACCTCTGCTAAGCAGAAGCAAGTAACTTGTGTGACAGGGACGGAAGAGAACTACCGTGGGATCCTACCCCCACCCCACATACATACCCTTAGTGGAGAATATACAGAAACAAAATTATGAAAAGGCAGGCATTTCCTGTGATCCGAGGAGAAACCAGAATACTACAGACTAAATTACAATAGAAAATAAAATGGTGACCTCATCACTGAAAGTATTAAATATAACTTATTTTTGGAGCACCTTACCTTTCCAAAGTTCGAAAGCAGCTTTTGTACTTAGTGTCACAAAACTTTGCTGGATGTCAGTCAGTATAGAAGCTCAAATATCAAAAGCACTTTGAGTATTGCCCACTTGCCACTACATGTTGAAGGAAGTAAGTTCCTCTTGCTTGTAGTTTATCTAAGAAAGTTTTAATAGGACTTTAGTGGTTTCATTAGGAAACAGGAAGACAGCTCAGCCATTTGCCCTGTAAGACTTGGGTATATATACACACATATGAATGTATGTAATTATTATTTACAGGGTTATTATAGTTTTATTGTGCATTATAATAGTAGTAGTAGTACTCCAGATCCATCTGCATTTTAGGAAGGTGGCGAAAGAAAGCCCCACCTTGAGGGATTTTGGAGGAACTTTTTTGTGGACAGGGAACAGGTGCCATTCCTCCTTAGAGATTGAGCCCATAGCAGGCTTTAGGTGATTAGGCACAGGCAGTCTGCAACAGGATTTGTGATTCCTGCCGAGAATTAATGAGAGGCAAATCAAGTTTTGAGCCCTTACGGAAAGGGGTGGCCTTCAAATAAGAAGGGCACCTTCCTCTGAGGAAGTCACCAAGAAGCACTCCAAGCTAAAAAGCAGCCTCTTCTCAAAGATAAGAGTAATGGGTGTCCCTGACCCCTTGCTTTTTAAAATGTTTTTTGTTTTTGTTTGTTTGTTTTGGTTTCTGAGACAGGGTTTCACTGTGCAGCCCTGGCTATCCTTTGGAACTCACTCTGAGTTCGGACTAGCCTCGAAACCAGAGAACTGCCTGCCTCTGCCTCCTGCATGTGCCACCACTGCCCAACGGACAGTTTTATTCTTACTTATGTGCGTCTGTTTGTGCGACTGTGTGCGCACATGAGTGCAGTCTCCCAAGAAGGCTGGGAGAGAACATGGGATCCCTCTGGAGTTGGAGTTACAGGTGCTCGTGAACTGACATATTAGATGCTGGGACGTGTATTTGGGTCCTCTTCAAGAGCAGCGAGTGCTCTTAACTGCTGAGCCACTTCTCCAGCCTCCTTAGCACTTCTGACATGTTGAGAAGCCATGTTTTGGAAATACCCACACCGTTGCTGCTGATGTTCTTAGCTCATTAGTCCTTGTTCAGTCTCTGAAGAAGACCCTTTGGTTTTTATGAGCCAAACGTGTGTGTGTGTGTGTGTGTGTGTGTGTGTGTGTGTGTGTGTGTACAGCTAGATGTCTTCAGCCTGAAGCGTCTAGACTGGAACCTGGCCCTAGAGCTCCTCTGCTTACACCACGCTCTGCTGCTTGGAACGCAGAGACAATGACATGGAAAGGCCCCAGCTTCTTTGCCTGCTCTTCTGTCCTTACACATAAACAGCTTTTAGAAACAGACTATTCTTTTGAAACCCATGGTAACAATGTGAAGATGTCTGCACTTTGATCTGAATAGCAACAGAATGTTGAGGTTCAAGATCTCAAAAGTCACTCATAATTTTCTGTTGCTTGATGAAGTATTGGGTTTCTAAGGTGTCTATTATGTTTGTTTTTGTGCCTTGAGGGTGTCATGTGCTACTTCACGTGCCTGGAGATCAGAGGGAGAGGAGACTTTTAGGAGTCTGCTCTACCATGTGGGACTAAGGGATCGAAGTCAGGTCGTCAGACTTGGCACCTTTACCCAGTGAGCCACCTGGCTAACCTGGATGAGTTATTTTTTTTTTAAAAAAAAAGTGCCTTAATGATTGAATAGTTACCTTGTTAATGAGTTGGTCATAAAGAAAAAACAGTGTTAACCGAAAGTAGCTACTATAGGTCACTTTTTAAAAAGTAACAAGCTAGCCATGGTGACTCATGCCTGCCTTTAATAGTGGCAGAACTCTGGAAGCAAATCACCATGGGTTTGAACCCTGTTCCAATAAGTCAGGCATGATAGCCTATGCCTGTAGTCCCAGCATGGAAATAAGAGGATCAGGAGTTCAAGGTCATCCTCTGCTGCTTAGCAAGTTTGAGGCCAGCCTGGGGTACCTGATCCTATATTACAAATGAAGTAGTGCTTGAGAGATGGCTCAGCAATTTAGAGCACTGGCTGCTCTTCCAGGGGACTTGGATTCAGTTCCCAGCGGCCATGTGGCAGTTTACAACTGTCTAAAATGCCAGTTCCAGGGGATCTGATGCCTTCTGGCCTCCAAGGGCATCAGGCATACATGTAGTGCATAAACATATATCCGTGCAAAACACCCATACATATAAAAAAAGTTTTAAATAAAATATGATATTTTAAAAGTAAGACTGAGGGGCTGGAGAAATGGCTCAGTGGTTAAGAGCACTGACTGCTCTTCCAGAGGACCCGGGTTCAATTCCCAGCACCCACATGGCAGCTCACAACTGTCTGAAAATCCAGTTCCAGGGGATCTGACACCTTCACACCAATGCACATAAAATAAAGATATATAAATCATATTAAAAAAAAAAGTAAGACTGAAGAGATGGGTCAACATTTAGAGCAGCTGGTATTCTTGCAGAGAACGTGGGTTAGATTCCCAGCACCTACGTGGTGGCTCACAACCATTTGTGACTCCAGTTCCAGGGGATCTGATGCCCTTTTCTCATCTCTGTTCATACCAGGCACATGTGGTGCACATACATACATGCAGACAAAACACCTACATGTATAAAGAGGAAAAAAAGGTAAGTGGGTGTGGTGATGTACACCTATAATCCCAGTACTCCAGAGATATGACCAGGAGTTCAGGTTCATCTTTGCTTACCTAATGGGTTTGAGGCTAGTCTCGGCTACATGAAACTCGGGAAAACAATAGTAAAAAAGACAATGGAGGGACTGGAGAGATAGCTAAGTGGTTAAGAGCACTTGTTGCTCTTACAAAGGACTGGATTTGGTTCCCAGCACCCACTTGGTGATCCACAACCATTTATATATAATTCCTAGGCACTCACATGGTACATGCTCATACATGTAAAACCTGGGGAAAAAAAAGACAATGGAATGTGAAGTCACTGAACAATACTGTGACTAAAGGCAATTCAGATGAAGAATATAGAAAAATCAATTTATGTTGAATGCATTAATTGAGTTTTAGCCAATATAGGGCTGAAACTCACCTCTAATGCAAAAAAAAAAAAGGTATTAAAATACATTACGAGCTGACTATGGTGGTGTACACCTTTAATCCCAGCACTTAGGCTGAGGCAAGCAGATTTCTGAGTTCGAGGCCAGCCTGGTCCACATAATGAATTCCAGACCTTGTCTCAGTAATAAAAGGAAATATATTAATACAGAGGGGATCCAGATTAAACTTTATGAGAGCTCTTGGCCTATTTTTATTTGCAAGTGCTCTTCGTTAGCATCCATAGCTCATCTGCTCCCCCAGATTCTCTGCTTTCTAACGGCAGTTACCATTTGAGCTTACAAATACTCAAATGTATACTCCCCTGCTCTCTTGGAGTCAGAAGTCAGCTGAATGCACTGGGATGAATTATTAAGTTTGTTCAATCTTTTCAGTTGAAATGTTGAGCCAGCCTGGAAGAGTATTACAATTTCTTTACACGCTCCGGATGCTTGTAACTTGAATATAAAGTTTTTTTTAATATCTATTTTTGTGTGGGGTTATCAGAGGACAGCCCACAGGAGTCAGGTCTCTCTTCTACCATGGCTCCTGGGGATTGAACTCAGATCATCAAACTTGGTGGCAAATGCTTCTAGTCACTGAGCTGTCTCCACAACCGGAGTAGAAAATTGGTGAAATCATTTGCGTGTGACCAGATGAGATGACCCTGTGAGGACTTTAAGGACTCCTGCCCAGCAGAAGGGCACATGTTCGCCACCGCTAGACTGGCTAATTGTTCCAAATGCATATTACACATCTCTTGTGTTTGAGAATCGTGTCACTTGCACGTGTATTTATTTAAAGGCAAACTTAGCAAGTGTGACAAATGCATCTCACTCAGAGTAGCGGAATCTCTGTGTCTGGATCAGTGCGGAGCAGCGCTTCTGTAGCTAAAGCTCCGAGCACGCATGATTGGGAAATGTGTGGGACCAGATGCGGGACCAGCACGTGTATCTGCTGTTGAGGCACTTTCAGAGCGGCTACAGGAAACCAAATAAACAAGGAATGTCCTGTCTCCAGAGTAAAGGTCGGGGCGGGTCACGCAGAACCAGCTGGTCTTCTTGTTCACCGCGCCTGCTGATGGATGACCACTGTGCCCGCTGATGCGAGGACCTTGAGGTTCAGACCCTGCCTCCGCGCCCCTAGCCTCTGTGGGAGTGTAGTACCCACATAGCTCGCGCAGATCGGTGCCCCTCCTGTTTGCTGCTCCTACTGGAAAGGGACCTCATTACATATTTAGGGTGGTCCTGAAGCAGAGTTAAA